AGTAACTACTAGACAACCCTGTGACCCATTGGATCATCCTTTGAGAGAAAGGTAATGCAGTCTGATGTGACCAAAATTAACATTAAATGTTAGGCTGACCATATTTTTTTTACCCCAATGCCAGATGGTCCCGTGATCATCTAAGAATATATATTTCATAAATAGAAAAATAATTGTAATGGCAAACAAACTTCAATAATAAGTCAATATTTACTTACCTAAACAGATAAACAGAATGACCATAGGAGGGCAAAAAAGCAATGGGAGCAGGAGTGACTTCCGACTTCCTGCCAGCTTCCCCATTGACTTTGTCTCGGAAAGCCGATCATGTGACCACCAGGATGCTGAAACAGCCACAACTTGGTGAATAAAAGTGATCTGAACATTGTGGAAATTTCAATTCCACAGAAGCAATGGGTCCTGGATTTTTAATGCATTCTTTAAGTTAGTGGATTTTAGGTACCTTGGTTCAAAAATTGTTGTGGTATAATGCATCATTTGGGCTAACTTGAGGGTACAAACAGACTAACAGATAAACACAAGAGTTTTAGTAGTGTATAGATAGAAAGGAACAAGAAAGCTAGCCAAGTGGTAGAGTTTTATAGTGCAGTGTTAATGATGTCATGGTAGGATAGAGCTTTGTTCCATAAAATTATTCTTTCTTAGGGTGCTTCCACAGAAGGCTTCTGAGCCAGTCTGAAAGCAGCTCTTGATCTCCATGTTCCCGTGACATCAATAGCATTGAGAGTTGAGATTATTTACTTTTGGCTCAGCTGCAACATATTTGATACTGCTGCAAAGCTCGGGGAATGCTGGTTTTAATTTTTTTAAATGGGTGGCTGCATTTCCCCATTGGATGGAACTCTGATTTCATCTCTTCCTCCTGGCTTAATTGCCTTCAAACAATTTTTGGAAATTTGGGACAAAACATCATGCCAGTGTGAAAGTGTCCTTTATTTTCACTGGAGTGTGGTGATACCCTTGAAAAAGGTATGCCACAGCCATTATGAAAACATCTGCTTACCCCAGAAAGCCAGGAGGGCATGAGGAAGAAACACACTTAACACGCCTGGGTATAAGAGGCAGGCAGGGAGGGAGAGGGAAACTCTGTCAGGCTTCTAAGATTACGTTATTATACTCTATAACAATAAAGTAGAGTACCAGTAGATCTTGTGCTGTCTCAAAGGCCTGACAGTGGACAAACATGGCAACTACAGGTAGTCCTCACTTAACAACCATTCATTTAATGACGGCTTGAAGTTATGACAGCCTCGGAAAGGGTGCTTCTGGCCATAGTAAAACATCATGCCACCCCACCTCCATGGTCACATATATAAATAACATCAAAGAAAAGGCTCTAAAGCTTTTCCATGCAGCAGCCTTAAGCTCCTGGACTCCCATGTATAAGCAAAGTGGAAATGAAATCAGCTGAAGAAATGCTTTCCCAGATTTCAATCCTTTCCTCTGCTTTGAGCGCAGTGACAGCCTGATATCACACCTGAACTATGGTGAATTCTCCTTTGTCTTCACCCCACCTGGACTGGAAAGAAACAAAACAAAACACCACATTTATACAATTTGTCCTGTCGCTTCCACTAGAAGACAAAAGTGGTAGAATTGCTGTCAATTTTACCTGATTTTTTTAAGAAGCAGGTCCATCCTTTCATCATCCCATCACTCAAGTCTTTCTTTTCCTTTAAAAAGCCCCCCCCTTCCCCCCCCATTATTCCCTTGATGAATATGTGTGTATGTGTTTATAAACAAAATGGCCATGAAGGGTAGTAACTAGTGACTGAAAGGAGAGGGTGTTCCTGTCACAGTGCACAGTTGCCAGCTGGAGTGGCAGGGTATTCCTATACTGCTTCAGCCAGTTCCAGTTAGAAAACATTACTTGTGATGTGTGGTAGAAAAAAATAGGTGGAGGTTGCCTTCTTGGGGGGCCGAGGCAGGTAGAAGATGACATCTTGCATTCCTGGCCTTGAGAAATGGTCAGTGCCCTATGCTTATGCTGTGCCAAGCTGGTCATGCAGATAAGCCCCTAATCACGGATTAAGCACGTACAGGTAGTCCCCAGTTTAAGAACAAGTTCCGTTCCCAAGGTCTGTCCTTAAGTTGAATTTGTATGTAAGCCGGAACAGTCTTATTGTATAGTACTGTATAAGTAGTATGGTGTAATTAACTCAAACCATTGTGTATTTAACTCAAATCAGTGTGTATTTAACTTGAATTTTGCTACAACAGGCTCCGTTCTTAGCTATGGGTCATCTGTAAACCAGACTTTCTCAACCTGGGGACTCACTGTACTAAGCATGTATCACAAAGCTCGTGCAAATTTGTGATTAACTCCTGTAAATCGTGTACCGGTCTTCAGACTGGCTTATTACATTCTGAGAAAAGGAAAAGCAAGTTTTTAGAATCTATCTGTTCTTCCCTCAGTGCAGAAATGGCAGAAACAGAACATAAAACATTTTCTTGAGAGTGAGGAAGTGGCTACTTCAGGTAGCAGGCTTGAAAGATTTCTTTGATCACTTTTCAGGGAAGCTCTGTGAGTGAAGTGGAAGGCTGGAGAATCTTGAACTTTCACCACCAACAGAGGACCTGTATTGGAAAATCTGTTGCAGATTTTTGGAGCAATCTGATTAGCTGGCTTCAAGTTAAGACAAGACTTGTTTTTCCTCATTAATAGATCTATAAGGTGTTGTACATCCAGCACGTGGATTTACGAAAGGCTGAAAAGTGAGTGCATCTACAAGCCAGCTACTTCTTGAGTAATCCTTAAGGTGGTGAAGGGCACAGCTTGTTGTTGTCTGTTTAAACACTGCAAATGTTACTTTGCAGGATGATTTTGGTTTAAAATTGGCTTCACTCTGAAATGGCTTTGTTTGGTTTTAGTGAAATCATCAGGTAGCCAAATTAAATTATTATACTGTTTTGATATCATCCTATTTATGATCTGATAGTGGATTTCTTCATCACTGTGTATCTAAACATATGAAAAAAATGGCTCCGAACCTTTCTGTAAAATGGAATATTATTTTTTTTAATTCTTAATTTTATTATGCTGTAAAATTCGATGAAAATTATAATTAACTAGAATCTTCTAATTGGCTTAATGGAGCAGGCTCAGAAGACAATATGCCAATTTATATTAAAATACAAATATTGTCATTGAAGATAGGCACTGACATGAAAAACTCTTAATATTTGTGTTCTTTTTATTTGCCATCTAACACTGTTAATATCATTTTATTACCCATTTTCCTGATTTGACTCCACAGCTGTCTGACCCAGTCATCTGTTAAGGCTCGGGTGTTTTACTGCCATAGAGGAGAAATCTGCTGTCTACATTTGGGCCAGCACTACTATGTGGAGTATGGCAGAAAATCTCATCTGCTCATTTTTGCAATGTAACTAAAGCTTCTAGATGTTGATCCACTTATGTGAATTAGAGTCAGGTTTGTTTCTTCCTACAGTTGGCAAGAGGAAAACTCCAAATAAATTATGAGAGGACAAAGCATGGGCTGAAGAGGAGGAGTGGGAGAGAGAAAGCAATGAACACATAAAAAACAAAGTAAATTACCATCTAGTGTTCTGGCAAAGAGGGCACATCTGTATTTTATATAAGAAGAAAAAAAAATCCAGAATGTTTGTACCCCCAGGGAAAAAAATCTCTTATTCTAGCTCACAGGAGTGGACCCAAGGAGTCATTCTTCTTTAAGTCACCAAAGTCCTACCACCATCCTTTTCAAAACAGCTTCTCCCACCACAGTCCTTTTCATAGGTCTACCTTCTAGTGACTAGCCCAGGTTTTATTGCCAGGTGATCCTGATTTATACCTTATGAGAGAGAAGAAGATAGCCATGCCATTGGCTGCTCAGCAACCCTCCCGGTGGAGAGCATATTTTGTTAGCTCAATGCAAAACACTTAAGATACTGGCAATCAGAACAACATATTGTTGTGCTGTCAGTTTTATTAATATGGGACAGGTTTTCAAACTGGTACTGTTTGGTGGGGTGTTACGTTGTACTGACTACACTAACCTCCTGGCAGAGTCCGGTTCTCAGTAATATCTGCCAACCAGACTCAAGCACAGGTCATAGGAGTAAAAGACCTCTTTACTAATTGAAAAGGTTTGGTCTTCCCTTCCTGCTTGCCTCTACATTTCAACACAGCCATCTGATCTGTGAACTGAGTGCATTTTATAGCGCAGTTCTAAATATGTCTAGACAGATATTCAGTGGAACTTCCTCTTAAGCATACATGTCTACAGCTGAAGCCTTTAGTCCTGATTTTTTTCATGATAGTGTGTATTGATAACAATTCATTGGCTATATGCTTTATTATTTATGACAGAGCCAGATGAGATGTCCTTCAGATATTTATTTGTTGAATTATATATATACATACATATAATAATATATAGGCAGTTTTCACTAATAATAATCAAGTCAGCTGTCAACAACATATGAAGAATGTTTTGGGCAAGAAGTGACTAGTTTTTGTCCAGCTCTGCAAAGGTATTCCTTTGTAGGGTTACACAATTTCCATAAGTCTTTTTGCTGGTTCTTTAAATGTTATCTCTGAGAATTCCGTCTACCACAAATTTTCTCCTTTCAGGCGTTTATATTTACAGATGGTATTTTCTTTTCATTATGCCAGATTTTTCCACCCTTGTGTCATCCAGATGCTTTTGGACTGTGTCTGCACTTGAAGTCCGCCTGACTTTGCAAAAGCTGCCTTGGTATTTTGGTGGATGCCCCAACATATCTAGAGGGCACCCAGTTTGTGAACAGATAAGCCTCTCTCATGGCAGCCTCATTAGGAGAAGGCCCACCATGTTTAAAATTCATAATATGCCTCTGACTCAAAAAGGTTGCTTAGCCTTGCAGCAGGAAACCCTGCTTCTTCTGATTTGTAGGAAGCAGGTTGTTCTCCGGAGCTGGAGCAATTCAGGTTAGAAGTCTCTCTCCTAAGATGTTCTCTCTCTTTTGGGTTCCAGATCGGTCTTATACATTGGGCAATATTGGCATCCCATCCCATCTCATCCATGTGCACCACTGGCCAGCCTATACCACTCACATATCACCCATGGTTAAGAAGTTTATTGAGCAAGACAAATCAAGAATTGCCACATTCCTGGAAACAACTCATCTGAGCAGTCTAGCACAGCACCACAAGGAGACCAGCCAAGACCTACAAAAGAAGCCTAGCCCTGGTTCTGAGGAAGCAGAGGCAGCTGAACCAAGCCCAGCAGGGTCACAATTTAGTGCCACTGTTAGCTTTTGCTGGGCTCAAAAGGACTCCCTAGGCAATTATGGTGGCCTAGGGGTGCCAGGGAGCTTTTTGCCTTTGGGACCCGCCGCTACAGGTAACTTGGTCATTTTTGCCAAGAAAAAAAACCCTTTACGTGTGCTGCCAATGAAGCTGCCAGATGTTTCCCAGAGGAGAAAGAACAAAGGGTCATGCTACACTAAATTTCTTAACTAATATTTATCTTGGGAGTGTTTTCCTTAGAAACTGGATAAAGAATTAATGCATGTAACATTAAGAAAAGGAAAGTTTGACATGTAAAAGAGTGTATTAACTGAAAATTCAACATTGCCAATAAGACTGTGAGTCAACAACTGTGAGCCTAATCATCTCAGGCCCTGGTACATCTACCTAACCTGTGGGTATGCTTTACTTATATCTACTTAATATAATATCACAGCCCTATGGACTCTGAAAGCCATTCTACATATTCAGATTATATTAATTTATTCCTGTCAGTGACCAGATCAATTCTTCATTTTTCCCCTCTCTCCTCTCTGCTTTTGTGAGCACAGCTTGCTGTTCTGGGCAAATATGCACATGATAGAGGGGACAAGAGATGCATGATCTTGCAGCCATGCTGCACAATAAGTTTATTACTTTTCTAGATATGTGAATAGGCATTAAACAGCATCACAACAGTTGTGCATTTACTAAAAAGAACAATGATCCTGTTGAACAGATCTTCTGGCACACTCCAGTATATAAATCTTCTATAAAAGCTCCTACTGAACTCCTCTTCCATAAGGAGCACAGAACTGAAATTCCATAGGGAGTGAGCCTGATTTAGCCAATGCTGGATGGATAAGATGTGAGAGCTGACAAAACTGGGCATAAGGTTAAATATTTCATCTTGGGTTCCACAGCCAGATGAAACTTTCAGTTTGGTGTTAGGGAAATGGGAGTTTTCATAAAATAGATTCTTCCTAGTTTATTGGACGGCAACTCCATCATACCACTGCCATTATTTATTTATTATTTATTTTTTAGATGTCTATCTCACCTTTTGGGACAGGTGCGAAAGGGAGTGAAAAAAATTGCTCCCTCCTCCTATTTTCCCCCACAAAAGCAACTCTGGGAAGTGGGTTGGGCTGACAGAGAGGGACTGTCCCAAAGCTGCCCACTGATGAATGAGAACATCCTACTCTTAATCCAGCATCTTAACCACTACACCACACTGGTTCTATTAGCTGTGTTGGAGGACACCAGATTGTCTAATCCTAGCTTATCTTATTGCACAGCATAGATACTCCTTTCTTATTTGCTTTGTTAGTTTTTCTTTGCTACCTATACTATATGGTTGAAAAAGTGTGAAAGTGCTGGGGTTCCATTCTGTAGAACTGCTTGTTGGCAACCTGGCATCTTCTGCATGTTTTATATAACTCCCATCATACCCAGGTATGTTCATATTGATTTAGGACTATGATAGTCATAGTGCTAGAGACACCACTCCTAGAGATACCAGTTACAAAAACTGCAAATAAAGTAGTCCTCGATAGCTTATAACTTGGTTAATTAAGGGACCTCATAAAGTACCTGACTTGCTATGAATATCTTTAGGAGAGACATTTTTGAGGACGGTGCCACACACAGAGGCTCACGTTTAGAGTTTTATGAGAGGGTTAAAATGGATTTGACTTATCAACAATGTACAGCTGGGTTTTCAAAAAGCCTTTGATGAAGTTCCTTATCAAGGGAAAAGTAAATTTCACAAATTTAACAAAAGTGGATTGCTAACTGGTTAAAAAACAGAAAACAAGAGTAGAAATAAATAAGCAATTTTTTCAGAGATGGGAAATAAGAAAAGTGCCCCTTAAAGGATTTGTGTTGGGACCAGTACTTTTTAACTTGTTCATAAGTGACCTGTGACTAAATGAGGACCAGTGAGCTAGCCAGGTTTGGGGATAATATTCAGGGTAGTAAACTGTGGTCATTGTGAAAAGATCCAGAAGAATTACTTTAAATTGGGTGAACAGACATCCAAATGGCAAATACAATTCAATTTAAGTAAGTAAAATGATGCACATTGGGACAAAGAAATGTAAGTTCACCTACAAATTAATGGCATCTCAGTATTTCTGAAATTAACTAGAAAAAGATCATAGTGGGTCAGAGTGGATAGTTCCATGAAGATGTCAAGTCGGAGTGCTGCAGCTGTGAAAAAGTCAGATTCCGTGTTGGGAATCATTAGGAAAGGGACAGAAAATAAAAATGCCAACTTTTTAATACCCTTACACAAATCTGTGATACAGCTGCATCTGGAGTACTGTATATAGTTCTGGTCAGCACACTTGAAAAAAGGATCTTATAGAGGTAGAAGTGCAGAAACAACCAAAATGTTCAAAGGGCTTGAACACTTTGCTTCAAAAAAAAAAAAAAAAAAGGGAAAAAGGAAAAAGGAAAAAAAGAAGAAGAAAAGAATGTTTAAGGCACCCTAGCTTGGGAAAAAGGACAACTGAGGTATATAAAATCATGGTTGGTGTGAAAAAAGTGAGCAGAGAAAAGCTTTGCTTCCTCTCTTAAAACACTAAGACCAGGGGCCATCCATTGAAGCTCTTATTTAGGATGGTCAAAAGGAAGCCCTACTGTACTTCACCCAGTGCCCAATAAACCTGTGGGATTCATTACCACAAGACATGATGAGGGCCACTAACTTGAATGGCTTTAAAGAGATAAATTCATGCAGGACAGGTCCATTAAGTGCAACCGGTTACTTCCCAGCTGGAAGCAACATGCCTCCAAATACTAGTTGCAGAAGAATACTGGCAGGGGTGAGGTATGTCTCCGTCTCCAGGTGGAGAGCACCCTGAAGCCATCTGGTTGTCCCCTGTGAGAAACAATATGCTGAAGCAAGATAGGGTTTAACCTGATCCATCAGGGCAACTCTTATGCTCATTTATCAGATACTCAGGAAAGGGCTTGCTCCTGGCCACGTCACACCAAGACTGTGGTGTGCATTTCTTTTGGAAGTATAAGTGGCCCTCACTCACCTAGCTTGGAGGGAAGTTATTCAGGCTCACTTTTCCACTTGGATTTTAAAAGGATTCCTAGTGTTTTTAGGATGATATCATTCTTATATTTAATGTAGTTATAATTCTATTATTATTATTATTATTATTATTATTATTATTATTATTATTGATTGTATACTGCCCCAGTGGCAAGAGAAAGGCAGTGGATGATGATGATGATGATGATGATGATGATGATGATATAGGGTGATATTTCAATTACCTATAGTTATGTTCAGAAGCATAATCTATATCATCCTCATGACTGAGTTCCTTCAAATTGTTTATCTTAATAGAATTTTTGGAGGAAAAATATATTGCATTTTGAAGAATTAAAATGTCAGCCTGTTTTTAAAATTTTTCTTTATATGTTTTGCCAGATATGATTTTCTGGAAATGTCATTATTTAAAATACCTCTCTTCTGGATAATAGATATATTAGGATGAAATTTGCAATGTGTATACGGGCATCCACATTTAAGTATTTTTTTTGTTTGTTTGTTTTACAATACAGTTGTCAAAGTGACTATATGTAATGCTTGCCATTTCCAAAACCCCAATAAACACAACTTTTTTAAAAGCAAAGAAATTGGGAAAAGTGATCCTTTTGATTGTAAAGACTTTTAAAAGGGATTTGTCTGTCTTTTGCTAATCATTTTTAATACTAGAAAGCTAAATTCATACACACACACATCTCTATCTATCTATCTATCTATCTATCTATCTATCTATCTATCTGTTTTCTGATATTTTTCAGATGGGCTACATCACCCCTTTTATAACATTTCTCTTTTATAGTTTAGGAACAGAAAGGGTAGTCTGTTAATCCTAAATGCAAACTAAGTTTGTAATGTTCTGCAGTTTTTGACGTAAGCAAATTGTAGCAAACTCAATCTGGCTAACTTTCCACTAGGCACAGTACAAAGATGCTGAAGCACAACTGAAAACAATGAAGTCTAAGTTAATGACCACTAACTTCATCCACCTCCCCAGGGGTTCTTTGCACCAGTTCAGAGTCAGATGCAATATTGATTGCTCCCAAGATATCATCAGTGTTTGAAAGGTAAGCCCTCCAGCAAACCTCCCCCCCATATTTCTACACCAATTAATCTGCAAAGAGAGCAAAAATAATATTTTCTCTTGCAATGGTGCAGTGGTTTGTTTGCCCATTAGCAGGATTTCTTGCCTCATCCTGCCTGCTGGCTCTGAGCTGAGTCCTGTTCATAGCGCATGTCTGTAGGGGGTTAGAAATGTCTACCCAGCATGCAACCATAGAAGTTTTGGGGAAAGTGCCTGGTTGCAAAAATGCTAACACAGAATCTCTCTCTCTCATTACTTAGAAGAGGCTTTTAATTGGAGGAGAAAAGGCAGCTTTGCAGCCTAAACCTTCCCCATTAGCCATTGTTTAGATTTTTTTTTTTTTTGCTGGTTTTGCAAACAATCACACAAATTGGCATAATGTGAACTAAAAGGGTAGATGAGGGGGTTGCTAGCAGTTTACTTTTGTGTGGGTGAGGTACAGGATTTTTACTGTCTGGCTTTGGGATCTATAGTAACTGAAGGGGTGACATACTGGATAACTTTTTTGCCAGTCCAGTCAACTGGAAGAGACTGTTCACTGACTAATGGTGTTCCCTGCACGTTCTCAGTGTTTTCTGTTTGCCAGATGTGAAGATGAGCACAATCTACTATCGAACTGCTTTGGAAGGTTTGAGAAATAGAAAGAACAGCTGTGCAGAAGTTTAATTTATTGTACTAATTCAATTACTATAGCTGCAAAGAGAAAACCTCCTCATAAGTAACAGTAACTATAACTAAATCAGAGCCAATCATGTGGAAAACCTGCTCAATTGAGAGTTGCCAATTTATTTTCTGGCAAGATTCCTGTCCCTTTAATGGCTGCGTGGCAAGCCAAAGAAATTCAATAGGTGAAACATTTCAGTTTGCTTCATCTCCATGCCAGGAACATTTTCCAAACTCAGTTTACAGAAAATAGAGAAACCATCAGATGCCTTTTCCAAAATGACTGAATGGAATAGACAAGAATAGCCCTGATCCAGCAACAGTTACATAAAAAAAAAAAAAAAAAGATGTGGAAAGCAATGTGACTTCTTTTTTATTTGAATTTGGAAGAGTTTATTTTGCTGGAGAAGCTTTGTCTCCAGG